TGGTTTGGATACCAAAACTACCAGTTCAGAAAGGGAAGATGAGAGGAAGTAGAAGTAGCAAGGGAAAGAAGCTGACCGTGAACCTTAAAGGCACAATAGCTAGAAATTTGCATCAGGAAAGGAATTACTCATGAGACACTATACTCATTATTCACAACACATCAGTCTTATTTCTGTTGGTTTATTTATTCTATACCTAAAATGAAGCAAAGTGTTTTTGAACATTTAATACATACTAATTTTTATGATTAAATGAGTGAGAGAGAAATTAAATGAGCCAGTTGGGTTGGCTAAAGCATATTGCTATTGCAGTCACAGCCACCCGTGCCATGGATCCCAACAGACTTCTAGCACATGTATATTCTCAGTCATCAGGGTCCTGGGCAACATTAGCACAGAGCAAATGGATGCATGGGACATTCTCCTGAATGTGAAGAGCCATAGGGTCCACTGACACACACACGTTCAAACCTTGTGATCACAGACTCCAGGAAGCCAGTTGACATTCAGCTCTGGAAATGGAGAAATCTCCCGGAAGTTCTCTTGAAAATGACACTCTTGTGTAATCTTTCCTCTATCTTTGCACAAACTACCATGAACTTTTTATGTTCCTTAACTGCCTAGTTCAAAAAGAGCACTCTGACGTTCACCTGACAGAGGGGGATATCTAAGTTGTCCCCTAAATCATTTTCTGCATATCGGGTTTTCTATGGGAGTAACAGCAGTCTTTTCCAGCTTGTGAGCTGGGTTTCTCTGATGTGAGATCAAGGGCTGTGCTACTGGCTGGGTTTTAAATTTTTTGTGTGTGTTTATTTTTGAGAGAGAGAGAGAGGGAGAGAGTGCAGGCTAGGGGCAGAGAAAGGGGGACAGAGGATCTGAAGCAGGCTGTATGCTGACAGCAGAGACTTGGGTGCAGAGCTTGAACTCAAGAACCGCGAGATCATGACCTGAGCCAAAGTCGGATGCTTAACCAACTGAGCCACCCAGGCACCCCCTAAATTTTAATGTAAATGTATGTTCATGGAGAAAGAACTATATAAATAGTCTGGGGGGAGGTAGGATTATGGTAATTAAAAATTTTCTTCTTTGCTTGCTTATCTGTATATTCTAATTTTCTGTAATAAACTCATATTGCTTTTTAATAACAAATTATATAATACAGGATAAAAAGGGGAAACGTAGAAATGTGGTCATAGTGGGCCACCCAAATGTTTCAGGTCTTAACCCCTGGAGATTGTAAATGTTGTATTTTTGTAGATGTGGATCTTGAGATGGGGACCTAATCCTGCATTATCTGGATGGGTTCTAAATGTGATCACAAATGTCCTTATAAAGGGGAGGCAGGGGAACCTGGGTGGCTCAGTCGGTTAAGTCTCCGATTTTAGTTTGGGTCTTGATCTCACGGTTTGTGAGTTCATGCCCCATGTTGGACTGTGTGCTGACAGCTCAGAGCCTGGAGCCTGCTTGGGATTCTGTGTCTCCCTTTCTCTCTGCCCCTCCCCAGCTCTCTCTCTCTCTCTCTCTCTCTGTTTGTCTGTCTCAAAAATAAATGAACATTAAAAAAAATTTTTTTAAACTGCCAAACAGTTGTCCTTATGTGTTAGAGTTCCAGTTGGTCCACAACCTCTCCAATGCTTAGTATTATCAGTCCTGTTAAATGTAGCTATTCTAATGAGTCTGCAGTGGTATCTCATTGTGGTGATAATTTCCATTTCCATTGTGACTAATGATGTTGGGTGCCCTTAATGTGCTTATTGGCCAAATGAATATCTTCTTTCATGAAATATATCTGTGAATTTTTCTTCCATGTTTTAATGACAATGATTTATAAAAATTATCTAAGTATTCTAAAGACAAATCATTTGTCAGATATATGGATAGTGAATATTTCCTCCCAGTCTGTGGTTTGTCTTTTCATTGACTTAATGTCTTCAGCAGTTTTTAAATTTTGTGAAGTTCAAGTCACCATTTCTTTTATGATTTGTGCTTTTCATATCACATTAAAGACCTTTGTTAACACTAGTAGCAAAGATTCCATCTGCAGTCTTAATTATCCTTTGCCATGTAACAAAGCATAGTCAGAGGTTCTGGGCATTAGGATTGGACATCTTTGGGGGTCATTATTCTGTCTACCACATATGTCCATCATCAGAATGAGGAACTGCTCTTCTGTTGCAATTGTTGAGTGGTTTTTTTTTCCTTCCTTGTAGACATTTTTATTTATTTATTTTTTAACTTTTTTAACATGTATTTATTTTTGAGAGACAGAGAATGAGCAGGGGAGGAACAGAGAGAGAGGGAGACACAGAATCCGAAGCAGGCTCCAGACTCTTAGCTGTCAGCACAGAGCCCGACCCGGGGCTTGAACCTGTAAACCACGAGATCATGACCTGAGCGAAATTTGGAGGCTTAACCTACTGAGTGCAATGGCTAATGCTTCATTTCTACCTTACAAATCTTGTGCAAACTCTTCTTTTGAGAAACTCTAGCCTAAAGGCATATGGGAAAATGGATTATAGGAATCATAGATCCAACTTAACTGAGTGGACCCAGTACAAATGATCACATCCTTCAAATCTTTGCTCAAATGTGATTTTCCCAATTTTGCCTATCCTGACCATCCTATTTTAAATTGCATCTCATCTCACCTCCTTTGTAACCCAACGCCCTCCTAGATTGCCTTTAAATATTGGTGTTCCGGAGAGTATCACTCTTGGCACTCTTCTCTCACTCACTACACTCTTACTGGGAAATCTCTTCTGTATTCATAGATGCAATTACCAACCATACATTGATAATTACAATGCTACACTGTGCACGGGGTCCTTATTACCAAAGAATAACTAGACAGCTCAACCTGCATGTTCTAGTGCAGATTGTTCAAAACTTTCCCTTCTCCCCAAACCAGGTCCTCTTTTATTTACTCACTTAATAAATAACACTTCCAACCACCTAAGCAAGAAACATGAAGTCACGCTAGGCTCTTTCCTTTTCTTCATTCCAAATCTCTTCTCCTTGATCACTAAGTCCTGTGGATTCCTAAACTTAATATGTCTCATATGGGCTTCCTCTTTTCCATCCCCAATGTTGCAACCCTCATCCACAATTTACTTATATTTCTGCAAAAGTCTCATAGAAGTCTCTGATCTCCAGGTGTGCCTAGATGGCTTAGTTAAGTGTCTGACTCTTGGTTTAGTTCAGGTCATGATCTCATGGTTTGTAGGTTTGAGCCCTGCATTGGGCTCTGAGCTGACAGTGCAGAGCCTGCCTGGGATTCTCTCTCTCCCTCTCTCTCTGCCCCTCCCCCACTCTCTCTCACTTGCAGAAATGAATAAACTAAAAAAAAAAAAAAAAACAAGTCTCTGCTCTTCAAGTCAAAATACCTACTACTGTGGATATTTTAAGTAATAATTCTAACAAGGATATCTGATATGTTATTCCTTTGCTCTAACTCCTTTAATGGTTCCTCCAATACTTCCATGAAGAAAAGCTAATCCTTTGAATAGCAGGTAAGATTATTCATGATTTCTTCTTTACCTATTCATGCAATCTCATCTGTACCCATTCTCTCCTATGAAATGTAAGCTCCTGGGGCGCCTGGGTGGCGCAGTCGGTTAAGCGTCCGACTTCAGCCAGGTCACGATCTCGCGGTCGGGGAGTTCGAGCCCCGCGTCAGGCTCTGGGCTGATGGCTCAGAGCCTGGAGCCTGTTTCCGATTCTGTGTCTCCCTCTCTCTCTGCCCCTCCCCTGTTCATGCTCTGTCTTTCTCTGTCCCAAAAATAAACGTTGAAAAAAAAAAAAAAAGAAATGTAAGCTCCAAGTAAACTAAATGACTTCCAGTTTCCCAAGTCCATTAAATGGTCTCTGGAATGTTCTGACCCAAGCTGACAGCACACTCCACCCCCCCCCCCCCGCCCCACAACCCATCCTCTTTGCCAGCAAGTTTTTGCTCATCCTTTAAGTACCAACTTGTTACCTCCTATGCAAAAAATATCAATATTCCTTTTTACACATTAATGGCCATGCCTTCCCATTGCTCTACTGCTTATGCATCATGCATCTCTGCAAGTCTGTCTCATGATATATCCTAAAACCCTCTCCTTCCAAACTGGAAGCCATGGTTATGTAGCTTGGACATTAAATTTAAGTATATGTATTTAAAGATTTAAGAACCTCAGTGGGTGGGGCACCTGGGTGGCTCAGTCCCTTGAGTGTGGGACTCTTGATTTTCACTCAGGTCATGATCTCACAATTCCTGAAATCGAGCCCCACATCACCCTCTGTGCATAGAGTCTGCTTGGGATTTTCTCTCTCTCTCTCTCTCTCTAACCCCCTCGCCCCTGTCCCTCCTACCCTCCCACTCTCTCTAAAATAAAACAAACCAAACAAAAAACCTAGATGAGTTTGTAAACTTTGATAAGTGTGTCAACAGACAGGGCCTTGTAGCAAATAGAGCCCTGAACTAGAAGTCAGGAGATTTGAGTACCCTCCATTAGGGTACTTATCTTTTCTGGCCTCAGTTGTCTCTCTCATAAATACATGTGTGTCTAGATGACAGCCCTAGTTTCTAGGTAGCAATTTACAACTTATCTTCTTTTTTATTATCCAGTCCAGCCCCCTTCCTTTCACACATGACTCTCAGGGATGATATATAATTCAGTCAAAACGTTATTACAATTACTTAATGACTAAAAGACAACGCAGTCTGGGGATCCTAGACCTCCAGAAATGTTCCTAGCTCTAAAATTTTTTTAGAATTTGTCCAGTTAACAAAAACGGACGAACGAAATAAAGAAAAGCCACAAGAGAAGACACGTCAAGTAAAAAATAGCAGCCAAGAAGGCTGGGGAAACCTAGAGGTCCCACCAATTAGAAGTGAACTTCCTGTCCTTGGGTCAACTTCCGGAATCAACAATGGGGAGACCCAATCGGAACCTTCCTCCAGGAGCCAATGGGAGAGCACATTACAAAGAGCCAATCCAAGGGGCGCTGTCACTGTTATGGTCCTGTCAGGGCGCCGGCGTCGTGGTGTTTGGGCGGCCGCCACCTAAGAGACTTTGGTGGGGCAGACTCGGGGGCAGCTCGTCCCCGGCCTCGCTCCCAGCTTGCACCTCCCGGCTCGCGGGCCTCACCGTAGGGCGCGCGTGCGGGCCGGTGTCGCGGCCGCCTTGGGGCCTGGGCCCAGCCGCAGCCTCCTCCACCGCCGCTGGCTCGGAGGGGCCGCGAGATGCAGCCGCCGGGCCCACCCCCGGCGTATTCCCCCTCGAACGGGGACTTCACCTTTGTCTCTTCGGCAGACGCGGAAGGTGAGCATGAGCCCCAGTTGGACGCGGGGTGCGACGCGGTGGGCTCTTTGTGGTGCCGAGGCGGTTGCGGCCGGGTGGGGACCGGCAGGGAGCCGCCTGGGGACTCGAGCCCTCTGCGCCTGCCCGGCCTTCCGAGGGGGCCTGAGTGGACGGAGGGCTTTGGGAAGGCGTCCCAAATTACTCACTTGGCTTCTGGCTCTCCCACACCTCAGCGGGGCCCACGGAACCGTAAGATTTTGTTTCTGCAATGACTTGCTGTTAATCAAAAAAGGAGTGGTCCAGTTGGCGAGGGTGGGTGTCAAAGAATGAAAACTAGGTAGGAGAGCTGTGTTCCTCTCTTATTTACCGAGAGAGAACTTTATGCCGATGTTAGATTCGGCACTGCGAATACAAACTTCTTAGAGGAGTTCGTGTTTTGTATGGACTCCGATATCCTGCCTACGTCCCAGTTTTCCTCCTGTTGTGTAGTGTTTGACCTCAATATTCAGAGAAGCGGGCCCAAGTGTGTTTGGAAGTTCTTGTAATACAGTTAGGTGTCCCCAAGGGCATCTACGTATTTCCTTGTGCTGTTGTGAGGAAGCCGTTGTGCCGGAGAGATTTTTCTTTTTCTACATCGTAGGAAAGTTTTTCCTCCTTTTCTCTGTTCCTTACCAGACTCTTTCTGACCTGACTCTTTCTCTGCTAGTCGGTTTCGAATTTTAATTTTATTAGACTGTATACACCAATCATTTGCCAACGACTAGACTTAACTGCCCTATATGAAAAAAAAAAGTATGCATAAAGCTGTAGAAATTTCAATCTAGAGAGCCTAACGTTTGCTCAGAAATCTGATTTCAGAGTGCATCAGTTAGTATAGCTTATTTTCCTTTGTTTTGTTTTCCTTGTTTTGATTTCTCAGTGGCGTTGTTTAAAAAATAATATTGTAGTTTTGGTCGTAACTTAAAATGGAAAATAAAATTTTTATTTATCGTGGAGAACATAGCTGATACATTTATTTTAAAGCTAATATGAATAGGGGCACCTGGGTGGCTCAGTCGGTTGAGCATCTGACTTCAGCTCAAGTCATGATCTCACAGCTTGTGAGTTGGAGCCCCACATCGGGCTCTGTGCTGACAGCTCAGAGCCTGGAGCCTGCTTCAGCTTCTGTGTCTCCCTCTCTCTCTCTCTGCCCCTAACCCACTTGCATTCTGTCTCTGTCTCTCTCAAAAATAAATAAACATTAAAAAAATTTTTCTAAATCAATCAATAAATAAATAAAGCTAATATGAATATTTGGTGAAATACAGCAACCCAAAAGATTTCAATTTGTTTAATCTATACTTGGTAGCATAGTGCTTCGGGAGGAATATCAAATTTAATTTTCCAGACCTTAAAAACATGGCCTTTTGAATTGTTCAAAAATTTTGAATTATTGTTCAAACTCGTGTATTTATGTATATATGTTTCCTATCCTCCCCTGCCCCCAGGAATAACCTCTCTCTCTTTTTTTTTTTTTAACATTTATTTATTTTTGAGACTGAGAGAGAGAGAGAGAGAGAGAGAGAGAGAGCGCGCGCGCATGAACAGGGGAGGGTCAGAGGAAGAGGGAGACATAGAATCCGAAACAGGCTCCAGGCTCTGAGCTGTCAGCACAGAGCCCGACGCGGGGCTCGAACCCACAGACTGCGAGATCATGACTGGAGTGGAATGCTCAACCGACTGAGCCACCCGGGCGCCCCTGGAATAACCTCTCTTAAATACACCTAAGAAATCTAACAATGATATAACAAGCAAACCCTCTGACTCTGTACACGAAACCAAGAAGCCTGGAATAAGTAAACCTAACGGATATAAGGTTTATTCGAACTTCTCCATTTAGCCTTTTAAGGATACCTATGCTTCCTGTATACCGAGGATGTATAGACAAGGATAGATATATGTCTAATAATACCCTCAGGCGTATAACATTGTACAGTTTAAATTTATAGAGTATTTTCGGGGCGCCTGGGTGGCGCAGTCGGTTAAGCGTCTGACTTCAGCCAGGTCACGATCTCGCGGTCCGTGAGTTCGAGCCCCGCGTCGGGCTCTGGGCTGATGGCTCAGAACCTGGAGCCTGTTTCCGATTCTGTGTCTCCCTCTCTCTCTGCCCCTCCCCCGTTCATGCTCTGTCTCTCTCTGTCCCCAAAATAAATAAACGTTGAAAAAAAAATTTTTTTTTTAAAAATAAAAAAAATAAATTTATAGAGTATTTTAAGCAAATAACCTGTTTGATCTTTATAAGAATTCTGCTGAGCTTCATTATTCTTGTATTTTGTCATGAAAATGAGGCTTAGAGAAGTTCAGTAACCTCTGCATGAAGGATCTGAATTAAGAGCTAGTGAAATTGTGATGCTGCTTTCTTAAATATTTTTATAAATTGAATAGTGTATCTGAAGAATAGTGTTTGCATCCTGGGTTTGCATCCTGGTTTTGCCAGTTACTGTCTATATAATATTGCCCAAGTCATTTAGCCTCTCTTAGTTTCAACTTTCTCATATACAAAATGGGAATTAATACACAGTGCTCAAATATTTTGCAAATGCACAGCACTTAGTACCATATCTGGTGGAGTTAAGAGCTTGGTACATGTTAGCAATGCTGCTGCTGCTTATTTTTCACTATTAACTGGCCCCACACTTAGTTTTTATTGTTCTCTAACATGAAAATTTGACTCTGTAACTCCAGGTCTTTCCCTGGTTCTAAAGCATATCATGTAATTTCTTTCTTCTCCCTTTTCCTGCCTTTTCTCTAACCATGAGTGTTTTCAGTGTACCTTCCTTCTAGATTCTGTCCAGGTCTTTCTTAATGATACCTATCTATACTATTTATGCACACATATCCTTTGTTCTAAAATGTGCCTCACTCAGTGTTTGTCTCCACACCTATACATATCCTAGTCCCCAGGCTTCGAATGCCTTTCTGCTCCTTACCTGAAGTTGAGAATTAACACTGAACTGGCATGCTCATTCCTTGGGGAAACCTTGCTTAACTGTCCATCAGAAACAGACTTCCCTGATTGTTTCTGTGTCCCAGCACCTGCCACAGAATCCATACTATAAACATCAGAAAATAATTGTTGAAGGGATAAATGATTCTTCCTTTCTTTTATCTCCTATGACATTGATACTTGGGACTATAAAACTTAGCACATTTTGTATAGTGTAACTAAAAAACTGCTGGATTTAGAGCCAGCAGACTTCAGTTAAAGTCCTGAGCCTTATAGTAGTGATATCGGGCGAGTTACAGAGTTTCTATAAACTTCCATATTGTCTTCTATAAAATGAAAAGCAGGGACGCTGGCTGGCTGAATCATAGAGCATGCTACTCTAGACCTCGGGGTTGTGAGTTTGAGCCCCATGTTGGGTGCAGAGATTACTTATTTAAAAAAATTTTTTTTAATGAAAAGTTTTTAATGAATAGCATACATAATGTGAGTTATTTAAAATAATGTGTATAAAAGCAAGTTCCATAAGTACAAGTTAAAAACACATGAGCTATGTGTGAATCAGCCAATAAATGAGTAGTGAAACCCAGGCTGAATCATTCAAGTCTATGGTATAAAACTATATCCAAAAGCAGTACTGAAATGCATGTGTATAAATGCAACAGTGTAATGATACCATTATGTATATGTAAAGTGTAGTATAGAAGTTTTTAGGGATCCTTTGACTTTATTTCGTATCAGATAAATAAGTAATTCTTTGCCTGGTTTATGTCCTGAGCACTTAGTAATACAGAGTCTGCCTTAATCATAATTTGCATTTTAATAAGATCCTGCTGTGATTCATATGCACATTAAAGCTTGAGAAGCACTGATTTAGAATGTTATGAACGATTATGTCTCAAAAATAAATAAATGTTTTAAAAAATTTTTTTTAAAAGAATGTTATGAATGATTAGAAGAGGAGGAAATTTTTTCTAGCTGTAAGATCACGGACAGTTTAATGGAGATGATAATTTGCCTAACTTTGAAGGATAATGTTTTATATATATAGGATGGAATAAGTGCCTCCATGTGTAAGGGTCTGCATATGAGGAAGTCCCTGGCACCAAGAAATGGTCTAATAAGAGATAAATTTCATTGTACATAATAAATGCTATAGAAAGTATTGTTCAAAGGAGGAAGTGGTTAACTGCAAGAAAGGATCAAGGAAGTATTCGGGGACAGATCAGGTATATTTTGGAGGATAAGTAGGCGTTCTTCCAGTTGAAAGGGGAAAGAGCATTCACTTAAGAACTGTGCCAGTACAATACATGCTGGAGGCTGTCCATGTCTTATAGTTATTAATCTTCACAGACCTAAAACAATGCTGATTTAGACCATGAGCTTCTCAGGGTTAGAAGCTGTGCTTTTCTCATACCCACTGCCTAGCACTGAGTCCAGCATATAGCAGGAATTCAGTCAATGATGAATGAATGACCATGTGATACTTTTTGATTAAGATAAAGGTGTTGTGCTTCTAAAACTGAAGCCAGTACTAATTCAACAGAATTAAACAAGTAGTTGGAAAGTCATGAACACAGACAACTAAGCAAGAAAGATGATGTAAGCCACCGGATAGACATTTTCTCATCTTCATATTTTTGTACCTCTAAGTATCTTTGTATCTATATGGAAACATTCATCTTCCCTGCAAATCTTAAAGAAAAGGTTTCTTTCCTCTTTTCTAAAAGGATAACCCTCTACTAGTGCTTTTATGCCCATATCTTCTTGCCTTTTGTGGAACTTTTCTTTCTCTTCACTTTTTCTCTCTAGCATTTTCTCTTTCTTCTCTGTTTGTTACATCTCTACCATCACAGGTCCCCTCCTAAATTACAGGATTTTAAATTAAATTTTTAAGGAAAATTTTCACAGCCATACTATCTCTGTTATTTCCTGTTTCCTCAGCATCCAGAATCCCTACTCTTTGGCATTTTGCTTGCTTCCTTCCATCTTCAGCAGTGTTGCCCAGGGGGGAAGGTTCCATGACAACATAAATTTG